GAAGCCCTTAGCGCTCGGCTCGGGCAGCTTGGCTCTTAAAACAGAGCTGAAGTCTGAGTCAGGGGAGGAGCAGAGCAGCTGGAGCCTGGGAGGGGAGGTGCAGGGTCCGGAGGCATAGGGGCTGCCCGAAGCCCGAGCGCTACCGGCTTCATGGTTTGCCGGGCAGCCTCCAGACCCTGCACCCCCGGCTGGGCGCTTCCCCTCCCGGGCTCCAGCTGCGCTGGGGAAGTGCCGGCCGGGGGCACAGGGTCTGGAGGCTGCCTGGCAAACCGTGAAGCCAGTAGCGCTTGGGCAGCCCTTTTCGCGTGGCTGGGAGGGAGGAGGGGGAGTTAGGGCGGGGACTTTGGGGAATGGGCGGAGTTGGGGCATGGCCAGGGGTGGGAAATGGGTGGGGCCAAGGCCCTGTGGAGTGTCCTTTTATTTTTTAAATATGGTAACCCTATTTTATTTTAACATGATGCCCCAGCACAGTGGAAATATCTGCAATGTACATGTGAATAAAGTTGATGCACATGACTAGTTCTACTCTGACACACACCTCTTGCTTCGCAGCAGTTTCAATGGCCTTCACAGTAAACAGTTTCATGTCTGCTGAAGTGTCACAGCCAAGGCCAGAGGAAAGATAATACGACAATCAGGCATACTACCAGGATGCGTGTTAAGGTGCAAGGCTGGAGACTGCATTAACAGTATTAATCACGAGATTTAAGCCCCACCCCCACACTCCTATCCGGAGCATCAGTGGATTCTTCCTTTTAAAAGGCCATTTTAATCTTGAGAGGGTCTTCAATTGGGGTGACAGTACCATGCACTGCAGCTTTCCTGCCTTGGGTAAGTGAGCCAGAAAGAGGTTACCGATGCTAACTGTCGGAATCGGGGAACTCTCAGGAATAAGTTCCTTGTCTTTTTGACACTAAAGCTGGATGTTAAACAGATACAGAGTTCTTCTGACACACACACACACACAAAACCCACACCTTCCTGTGAATGTATCCCAGATGTTGTCCTAACCCTGTCAGTTTAGAGAGGCTCTGCAGAGGATAGCTCTAATTGGTAAGCACGCGATCAGCCATCATTGCACTCTACAAATACTACTCAGCAGCCCATGAATGGATTCAACGGCACAGTCTGAAGGACTCAACTAGCTATTGTTAATCCTCTGCCTGCATTTCCTCAAGAACTGTCTCACTGACAGGACTTACCCAATGAGAATGGCCTTGGAATTTCTAATTAGTCCAAAGAGCACCAGCAAACAGATCAGCACATGGAATAGAAGTAGGCCCAGGTATCCCAGCCACCTGCAATATATGGAAACATAGTCTGAAGACAAAAATTGGTGTCTAGAGAATAGGCGAGCATGCCTTGAGAGAGAAACTTGGCTCTCCCCCACCACAGTCAAGCCTAGCAAGTAAAATTCACTACTAATTACTAACGATGAACTGCACTACTCAGATCACATAACTAGTCTACAGTGTTCTCAGCTGGCTAGCTCTGGTAAACAGGCGTGAGAAAGTGTTTGCAAGAGTGACCAAAGCATTAAGATGTTCAGTAACATGCTTCAAACTTAAAGGTGACTGGTCTATGCAGCTGGACACTATAGAAAGAGCAAATACAACAATAGTCCAGGAAGTTTAGTTTGATCTATATCTGCCTGAAGAATAATAACAGCACTTCTGGACAGAGGGTACTTCTGAAGTATCTCTGAGCAGACTATCTATTCATTTCTCTCCCAAATAGTGATGGTCAATTCTGTACATCTCCAGCGGCTGCTGCGTAACAAGGCCTCTGTATTGTGAATGCATTATAGCGTGTGGCAGGCCTTCATCTATAGAACATCCAGACAGCGAGGCAGCAAAGTGAAAAAGCTAACCCCATGCCAGCACCAGAGTGTGAGCAACACAACTTAATGGACTTTACCTGCTCAAAGTAACGCTGATCTGCTGATTAAGTCAAGTCACTTTTGTTCTAATATGTTTTTACCAAGACTCAGCACACTTTTGCTCAGGAAAACAATCCCAATAAAGGCAGACCTAAAATCCCTGCTGGTGTAGAACAAACCTATAGATCAACTAACTAGAAAAATCTTCAGTAGTTGATCTGACCTGAAAGACATAAGCTTTAGCATCCATCATGGCCTAACACACACATCATATGGATGTCACATCAGTGGTACAGACCAACATGTTGCCCACCTGTACCAGTCATATAGATCAATCTGAACAGCCAGTTCCTCTAATGACAGTTCCTCATTCTTCCAGAAAGGAATCTCTGTTGTTTGCCTGACCAAATCATCCAAGAGGCCCTGGAGTTTCTGGATGACGTGCAGGTAATCAGTCTGTTTCATGAACATCTCCTCAAGGATCAGCAGGTTCGGCTCCATAGTTTGGTTCAGGGCCACTGCAGTGTCCAACACCTGTGGATCAGACAGAAGAACAAGGGGAAAAAAACACATTTACAAGAGAGTCTGCCAGTCTAGGAAGAAGGCCGGGGGGAGGGATGGGGGGGAGAAAAAAAGAGAGAGAAGATAGGGATTATCACTGTCAACAACTGATGGACAATTTCCAGATTACTGCACCAAGCCTCTTCCAGACTCTGGGACCATTTATCTCCACAGGTAACTTACAATGAGGGAGTCATAACTTCGGATTCATTTGGCACTGAAGATGGAGGTAAGCTACCACAAGTACCACCATAAACCTAGGAAAGATTCACCAGGGCTGGGCAGGAAAGAGAATAAGCTTATTTCCCTGCTTTTAATCAGCCTCCTTTGCTTTACTTTGGGATGGATTGTAAAGCAGAGGCTTCCTTTTAAGCCACACGTCAGCGTGCACTGGAAGCCCACTGTAGTGTTGGGATAACAATAGGCAGACCAAGGCTGCAGAGAAGTAACAAAGTGAAAGCCCCTAGAGGCAGCATACCTGGAGCACAATACTGCAAACCACCATGTTTATTAACAGTGCCATTTACTACAGAGCTACTGTTCTCTGCTTTTGGCCTGGCACCTCTTCTGCAGGCGGAGGAGTGCTAACGAGAAGCTGTTTTTAACCACACACAATCGTGAGAGAACACTTCATTTAACATGTTTAATTTGCTTTGATATTTTTAGAAGCAATAGAGACTGAAGAAATTATCTCCCCATTAATGGAAATTGTGGCGAATACTTCTCAATTCAGAGAGTAACAAAAGAGGGGCAGACACAGATGGAAACATCTGTCTCACACACCTCATTTCCTTGCTACAGTCCTTCCCTGTACTTACCCGGTCTTGGACCCCAGCCACCGTGCGGTTTGCATGTCGCAGTGAGTATGTCAGCCGGTGGATGCCGTCACTGGTCTCCCCATTTCCATAGAAGCCAACAGCGATGCCAGCGCTGTGGACAGAAGAGCAAGGAAGGGCTGGTTTACAGCGAGAGTTTATCTATGCAAGTTACTGCTGCTTCTTTCAGCACTCCTACCCTCCCACCAGGATTTCCCTCAGGAGGAGAGCAGCATGCCTTCAGCTCTGGGGTAATGACACTAGGACAGATGGAAAGATATAAGGAACTGATTTGGTGAACCTGAAAGTCAGATTTGATATGCTACAAGTGTAACTGTGGGCTTTGTTCAGTGCCTCTAGGCTGAGTGACATGCACCCTTTTGTTAGGGGTAAGAAAAGAGTAGTTTATGGCCCAGCTTCGAGAGTTAGGCCTGGTCTACACGGGGGGAGGGAAAAAAATCAATCTAAGATACGCAACTTCAGCTATGAGAATAGCGTGGCTGAAGTCGATGCATCTCAGATCGACTTAGAATCACTTACTTCGCGTCCTCGTGGTGCGGGATCCACGGCCGCCGCTCCCCCATGGACTCCGCTTCCGCCTCTCACCGTGGTGGAGTTTCGGAGTCGATGGCAGAGCAATTGGGGATCGATTTATTGCGTCTACACTAGACGCAATAATAGATTCCCGACAGATCGATCACTACCCACCAATCCAGCGGGTACCCTTAGTTGCAGGGCAAACAGAATTCAAACATCGCTATGGGCTATCTGGATTATAATCAACTAGCCAAGTGTCCCCCCCCACCCCCCCCAACTACCATGAGGTACTGCTGTGCATTGCTAAATAGGTGCCACATTCCAACCCACATGCAGGAGAAGCCATTCACACCCACTGTTGAAAAGCCTTACTTAGGCCATGTCTATACGTACAGCGCTGCAGCTGCGCCACTGCAGTGTGTCTGGTGAAGATGCTCTATACCAATAGGAGAGAGCTCTCCCGTCGGCATAAAAATCCCACACTTGTGTGAGCGGCAGAAGCTATGGTGGGAGAGCTCCTCTTGCCAATGTAGCACTGTGCACACGAGCACTTGTACTGACATACCTCATGTCGCTGAGGCGGGTGGCTTATTCACACCCCCGAGTAACAGAAGTTATCCTGACATTACAACAGTAAGACAGGCTGCAGTGTAGACAGAGATCCCATGCCTCAAGCATCTGTGCACGAATTACTTTGCTCCACACCCATCTCATTATCCCCCCACTCCCTTATTCTAAAATATAAAACTGCATCAGCATCTATTTTGACCAGTCCTCTCATAGCATCAAGGTTTCTAATGGGGATTATGGTATTAAGATAGTAGGGACTTGCAACCACTGGTGCACAAGTCTAGAAAAAATAAAAAAAAGAGTTGATTTTCAAAGCAAGAGAATTTAGTTTGGGATCGTTCAGACTCTTACTGATGTCTAACCTGGGCTCTGGTCAGACAGACCCATTTTCCAGTCAAAACCATGGATTGGTTCTTTTGGAATCCATTAACCAAAAGGAGGCGGAGCATGTAACCAAGGAACAGCAGTGGAAACAGGGCGGGTATCTCCTCCCAGGCAGTGACACCTCCTTGCTTCCATCAGGCAATCACACCAGAGACACTTTCAGTGAGCTCCCTTTCCATTCCTCCCTCACCCAAAATCCATCCACCCAGTTCTGTCCCCAGTAGGATGAGGCGGAGGGGCAGGAAGAGAAGGAAGGAAGGTATGGAGTTAACCTAGACAACAGGTTGCCTAAATTATGGCAATTCTTGTGTTTTTTGAACTTCCTGTTCCCATTTCAGATTTTGGGGCTTCACACAAAGATGGGAAAGATTCCTGGTGCAATGGTGGCCCTCAAGATGCCATGTTTACTTATTTCATTGGGTGTTTTTAGGTCTCTAGCTAGTATTTAAGCTAGACATCTAATTTCTCTGCACCAACTTTCTGCCAGTCCCTGGGTTACAGGTTACAGCCACTGCCCTGGAGGTTTGATGGTGGTTTAGGAAGGAAGTACTCCAAACAAAAACCTTCAGAACCAAGGGGGGTGGGGGGAAAGAGAGAGATAATGGACTTTTGCACGTGGATCTGTCCTGGCAAGTATGCCAAGCTGTCTTCCAAATTTCTAGCTCAGATAAATTCCTCCTTTGCTGCAGAAAAAAAAATAGCCCCCCCTGCTCCCTGGCCTTACCATGTTAAAAAGGACCAGCAGGACAGTGTAGCTAGCCCCAACTGCATCTCTACTTGTTCTCAAACACGCAGAAAACAGAAGCGGAGATCACACACTGGAAGCAGAGCAGCTGCATGAGTCTGTCAGTCCCATGGATTTTCCCAGCAATCAGGGCCTTCATAAATTATAAAGGGCATGGCCTGTAAAAGCCTTAGTTGAGGAGTTTTCCACAGAGAGAGTAGCTGCCCTACATCTTGATTGCTTCAGGAAGAGGCAGAAGGCATACAATTCTAATGACATTTACAGTCCTAGTACAGGAAAGAGATTCAATTCCCATGAACACTTTTCCACAGAAGCACTTTCATCATGTAAATGGAATTGGTAATTATACAGAGAAAACCCTCCAGATTCCTCCCCTGCTGGAATTTCTAGCTTTGACAGTAGCTGTAACTCCAGGAAGAGCGTTAGTCATGAGCAAAGCGAACTAGAAGCTGACAGTCCAGGGCTGTGTGAGAAGTCCTGCGTGAGAAGAAGCTTGCAGCCATGTCACTGCACTACGCATATCAGCCCCCCGCCAACCCCATGCTTAGTAGCCAAAGAAAGTAGCTGTGGAGGGGGGGATGGCAACAGACACTGAGCAGATTGCACCCTCCCTGAGAACTGAGACAAAGTCTCCTGATTGTTTTGTGGTGTAAACTGAGTCCGTTCCAGACCATTCTTAAGAATGGAGCAGCACAGATTTGATCCCTACAATTTTTGTAGGGCCACTATTCTGCAGCAAACTACAGCTGCCTTAGAGTCACTCCTCCAGAACAGACTTGATCAGCGCAGGGGTCAGCTGCCTGGTTCTCAGTATTCTCTGCACAGCAGCATTTTAATCAAAACAGATCAGAAACAGCACCCTTAAGGAGTAGCAGACACTTTGTACTTAATAATGGGGCACAGCCAGGTGCCTAAGCCAGTTTTACTGTATCCTGTTCAGTTTATAAATACTGAGTAGGCAGTTGAGCAGCCAGCCGCGTAAGAGACAGACATACACTAAGCCGTCAGAGGGTTCTAGAGCTGCGGCACTAGAACAGTGGTTAGTCTCTTGCTTCCCTGACAAAGGAGGCAGATGTTCACTTGAGTGCCCTTCTCCCACCAGGCAGCAACTTCCATAGAAGGAAATCTATTAAGACATTCAATATTAGGATTGGAGGATAAAGGAAATTCAAAATTAAAAGATACCACTGAAGTCTGCAAGTCAAGATGTCTGTCATACATCCACTGTGGGATGAAGACGGTATTAATTACACCACCAAGAAGAACTATTCAGTCTTGTTCTTTGTCAATAAGAGCCACTGAAATACAGAAGTTCTTTTTACAGAAGCAAGTTTCACAACATGTCCATTCCCCAGGACCGGCTCCAGGGTTTTTGCCGCCCCAAGCAATTGCGATCGGCGTCAGCTCCACCACGCCGCTTTCTTCTTCAGCGGTAATTCGGTGGCAGGTGCTTCCCTCCGAGAGGGATCTGCCTCCAAATTGCCGCCCCTTCCCCTTGGCCGTCCCAAGCACCTGCTTGCTGGGCTGGTGCCTGGAGCCAGCCCTGCCGTTCCTTTTCCTACCACAATGGAGGGAAGGAAGCTCAGTGCCTGCACGGGTTGCTGTGCTCTGGTCCCAGCTGTGAGAGAGAATGAGCTGTCACAGGTCAGGGGAATGCAGCTTGAGATTAGCGAGAAAGTAATGGGGATGCCGCTGGGGAATCCTAGCAAAAAATGATCTGTTTTAGTAAATATTCTTACCTAGATTATAGAACAGACACTAATGTAATAACTGCTAAAAAAGTACACGGTGCGTATCAGAGCAGTGGCGCCTGTCCTGTGGGGCTGGCTGGCGGTGGCTCCCTGCTCCAAGTGTTGTGACCTCTATGGTTGCAGGGCCACTCACTCAAATTTGGCCCCACTGGCAGCCGGTCATTGTGACAGAGGGGTGGCTGGGCCAAACCTGAGTGTGTGACCCCCTGCAGCAAGGAGCAGAATCCAGGCAGTCCTGCAGGACGGAGCTGTAGGAGTCACCACTGTGGGAAGTTGGATTTTGGGTGCCCATCTAAAGCAGCCTCTAAGTGTCTCAACACAGATGCAGAGTGCTGACAACTCCAAATAAAATCATCTGCAGCTGTGGATGCGCCACTCTGAAAACTGGGCTCAAGACAACTCAGCTTGGGCACCCAAAAAAATGGTGAAACAGAATTAGAAACCACTTTTGAAGAATCTGTGTCTTAGCAAGCATTTGCCTAAAGTTTTATAGGAGCAGTTAGAGAGAGAGAGAGCGAGATTGAGGCCACTGGGCTGTGTAAATGGAGGCACTGTTTGCCATCTGCTGGAAAATTTCTTTTCTTTGCATTAGAATGTAAATATTTGTCCCATTACACAAACCAGATATGCATTGGAGAACTCAGGAAGGTCCTGAAGAAGTATATTCTGTGGTTGAGTGTAAGCAGACCTGCCAATCTCAAAGCACTGTGCTCTATGGCTCAATACTCCCACACCTCACAGTGTGAAGAGACATGCTTTGCACCACTCAGCATGACTCCTCCCCGCAAGGACAGGCTCAGTGTATCTCAGGGACAAAGCTACAATGAGGTAGTCACATTAGAGCCCATGGAGGCTATGGGAGCCCAATCTGCAGAGGCCACTCTGCTCTAGTTATGCCAGTCTACCTAGAGGTAGACAGGGCAGGAAGTGGCCCCCAGCCAGCTGGGTTCCCACAGAAGCACTCCTGCACCTACCACAACCCAACCCCACCGCAGCGTGAGCCGCTTGTTGTGATGCTGAGACCACACCTGCCACCCTATGCCTGTCCCCACAGGCCCTTGCTCTGGATTCAGACTGTGGCCATTGCTTCAACAGTGAGGAGCTCATCCAAAAAGATGCAGGGCCCGCACAAGGAGACAGGGGGACCCAGGTACTGTTGTGATGGACATGTGCAGCCCCTGATCAGAGTTAATCTCTTTATTCTGTTACAAAGTGCTTCTCCTAAGTAGGCTAGATTCACAGGTGCACTCTAGCTCCTATGCAACTCTGACCATGATTTTCCATTGTCAACCTAGCATGTTTAGCCAGTTAAACTGGGTTTATGGAGTGGCCCAAAAGTAAATGGAGCATAGCAGTGACCCATGCCTCATCAGGGTAGGATCAAACCCTACCCGAATAGCATACCTTAGAGGTATTTAGAGAGGTTAGCTATTGGTGAGGGCTGGCTCTTTATCTAGGTCAGGTGAAATTTCTATAATATGTAAGCAGACAACCCATAATAATGTAAAAGGGATTGGATATCACCATCTTAGAAAAGTGCTGAGGAGGTGGTGATTTTACATTTTTTATTTATTTATTTTTTCTAAAATAACTTGGCAGTATGGATCCTTGTTTGGTTTTGTGACACAGAGAGCACATTTATGACACCACTTGTTTGCATTTAGTGCCCAGCCACATTATTTGTGAACACAAAGCAAATGCTGTTCGTGCTCAAATGGCAAGTGTTCCATGGGCAAAATTGTGGGTGCGGGTATGAAGATTTGGGGTTTGATTCCCCACTGAATTACTTCCTTATCTTTTACAGTGGTAGTGCCCTTCAGTTAGTTCCAGCAGAGCTGCACCAACTTGAAACTGGAGGAACAATGGTGACACAAGCTTGAAGGCTTTTTGACCTACTACATGTATACTTTGGATATGCTTAGCTACTTAGTTAGAAGTTCGACACATAAAAGCTGAGTTACAGGTGTTTTATGTTGATACAATATGTATATTTACTAATGTATGAAGTCTCAACTGCTGTTGCACAGATTTTTCCATTAGATAAAATTTCCTGGTAAAGTGTTAGTTAGGTTTTGAATATAGGTGCTTTATCTTACAAAAACATCCAAACAAGATAGATTTTTGGAGACACTCACACTGACAGAATTACCGACTTGAGATCATGTCTGCAGAGCTCCTGCACCATAAAATTTAGCACTAGCTCACTGAACAGTGAAATTTTTGTATAAACATGTACAGAGAACTTGTGTTTAGACAGCCTGCATATTGTGTTGGGGTATTTATGGATAAGACAGGTACCTTCTGATTTTCCATGTTGGTAAAGGTAAGCAACAGTGAGGATTTCAGAATTGGGAAGGGGGCCCCTAATCTATTTTTGCATCAGGGCCCTCACTATGCCCCTGGTGTGTCTCATTCAGTTTTCCTACTCAGGAGGAAAACTACTGTAATATGGGCCTTCAGGGTGCAGGGCTTGAAGTGAGAAACACACTCATGCCCCCAACATGAAAGACTGATCACCAGGCTTCCTAAGTATTCAGAAGCGACAAAGGCAGCTCATGGAGCAACTGGCCTTCTAGGAAGAAAATACTACACAGATGAGCAAGTCTAGCAATGTTATTTGGAGTGCGTACATAGTCCAGAGTTAGCTAATTCTCAGGTAGGAGGACTGTTCAGACAGTGAAAGATTCACAAATGTCTAATCATTGAATCTCCTTTCAAATAAAAAAAAATGAAAGGAGATTCAATGATTAGACATTGTGAATCTTTCACTGTCTGAACAGCCAAGCTATACATTTTCATCTTTGCACAAAAGTGGCAGCATCCACTCCTCACATCAATAGTCCATGTTGGCCAGCTTTGCTAAATGAGCAGAATTTCTCTGTAATCATCCTAGAACAAGCCAGAGCCAGAGGTTGATTACATATTCTCTCTCCAGGTGCTGGAAGACAGACATCTGGAGTAGTCTTATTTCCAGTCACCCTAAAATACATTGGCATCTGCCGGTCTGCCACCCTTAGTTCTTCCTAGTCCTGTGGTAGAATATATACCCAGTCAACTAGTCTGACTAGCACCACAAGCTAACCTGTGACATCTAGACCCTTTTTAAAGTGCAGAGAAAGCAAAGGGTTGTCCATATTGTGTTCCTTAGCCAGCCATAAACTCTCCTGTCCCGCTGCTAGAGGTGGCAGTACATCTGAAAAACAGGCAACTTACCAGAGCTGCAGGTTGCAAAGACAGTGTCTGCTGTCTTTGCAAGAGAGAAAGCAGCATTTGGACAGCACTTTCAATCACCACCAGTGATTATGAACTACTGCTTCATAAGCTAGCCAGTTATCAATTCGGTGGGGTGGGAGCAGGGCAAATGTAAAATAAATGAAGAGTCTAGCAAGAATTTTCCTGGAGGAGGAAGGAAAGATATTGCTTGGACAAATCATAAACCTTTGCTGGAATGACACACTCCTCCCAATTCATGCTTGGCAAAAACAACTAGACTATCAAACACTGAAGCAGCTAGTTGAGAGTTCAGAAGAGATTCTCTCTAGCTTACTTTCAAACACCAGTTTTTTGTGGGGTGTATGATCAGTAATTTAACCTTTTATCTGCCTACTTTGGGAGGCATGAAACCCACAACAACATTTCCCATCTCACCCTTTCTACAGGGTAAAAACCTCACTACTGCAGATGCCTTGGACACAAAAACACTGCATAACAATAGCTACCAAGAGCCTGCAGCAGAACATTTATAAATAGCATCATTTAAAGCTCCCGTAAGAAAAGGTTAGGAACACAGCACTCAAATAAATTGGGAGTGGATGTTCATGCAGCTAAAGCTCCTGGGTCCACGAACAAGCAAGGTGACTGGGAGTTTAGATTTATTCTCTGAAAATTATTATTTCCCCCCCTTTCCACTCAATACATCTATATTTGCCTAGAAAGGCACAGTTACTCTCTGAACAGAAGCCACTGTGCGACAAGATGCCAGCCCTTCTCGAACATTGCAAATCTCAGCTTTTAAAGGTGAAACCATCCCCAGTTTTCTATGCTCACAATAGAACGCACTGCTCTGCTTCACTGTTTGCTCTAGCACTTGAGGGTTTCTATTCTCTTTGCCCTGTGCCTGGAAAGAGCAAATGTGAACATGTACAGAGTACAAGCTAATCCCTCCCCAGGCAGCTAAGCCCCTTATCCACAGAATACAGCCCCGCCACCATGCAAACCTGAATGCTGCAGTCCAAACAGCCACCGACTCACCACGTGAGGAGAAAGAGGGGGAAGAAAAAAAGAATCCCCTCCCCATTTCTCTCCCTTTGCTTTCCTCAGAAGTGAAGAATTCCCCGCAAGTTCAAACACTGGAAGGAGAAATGTAAACGAAAGCAAAAGCCCCCTAAAGATTCTCCCAGGCTTCTAGCTTTTTACAGTGCTGATTCACTATAACTGCACCTGATCATTGTGTTCAGGACAGGTAAGTGGAAAATTAAGGCCTGATCTGACTGACATGGTAGTTTTGCATGGTCAAGGAATGCATGATCTTCCCCCAAGTATTCTCAGAATACTTTAAGAGTTAGAAACCAGGATGACGCATGGCAGTTGATACTGTAGAGTTGCATGGTATTTCTAACCATAAATCACCACGACCACACCTGGGAGATCACCTCCACAGCAGGACTAGTTTTGCGAGTATGGACACTGATCAGCCCAAGCAGGGCCGGCTCTAGGCACCAGCCGACCAAGCACGTGCTTGGGGAGGCACCTCAGAAGGGGCGGCCAATGTTGGGGTGGTGAGGGGCGCTCAAGGGGGTTTTTTTGGTTTTGTTTCAGTCGGGCAGGGTTCCTGGTCTGCACCAACCCAAAAGCAGAATCCAATAGGACTGTATTCTCTTTCCCCATTATCCACTTGCTGCCAGTCTCCCCTCACCTCCCTCAAATGTTTCTGGCACTAAAACATTAGTGGCGGATGCTAGCAACATCACTAGCAATCCTTAAGGCAGTGCATCAGTCTTACCAAAGGGATAAAAATGGAGCAATCAGGATTGCAAGCACTGGATACCATTTACATAGGAAGAAGTCAGTATTCCAAACTCCAAGAGGAAGAGCCATGCTTTTTTACCCCTAAATCCACCTACCCAATATATTTGTTATTTCCTTAGGGAAACCTGCTTCCAATGTAAATTCCTGACTAGGCCCGATAATTATTTGAACTGCATCCATCTTAATTAGGTGATAAGCCTCTCAGGCCAGGGTCCTCGTTTAACTGCTAGTAAATGGCAAACACCCTGCTGCTGTTATGGCACTTTATAGTCATCATATGACTCAAACCATTATCCAGTAAGGTGTGGAATAGCAATCAGAAAAGTCTATGCTGGATTTTAAAGTTAGGAGTACACTAAAAGAGAGGAGGCTGTTTCCAACAATACCCTGTATCCAATATATTGAGTCACTGCGTTGGTAGCTGATGCTCAGCATATGTATGGTGTGGGAGGGATGCAGTGGAGGAAGTGGCAGTGACAAAGTAGGTGATGTTAATTTACCCTGCAGACAAAATGTAAACTCACCTGCAGACAAGCGTGGCTATGATAACACACCAAGCAGTGCAGCAGCAATCCGCATTTAAGTGCTCTTCACTTTTTCGATGGCGGCAGCACAGCCAGAATGAGTAGAAGAGGAGGAAGAGGAGATCCAGAGCAAGGCAGGACAGGGCAACACCACCGAACAGCAACAAGGCCTGAGGAAGAGGAGACACCAAAAACAGTTACATCAGAGGCATCTCCATAGCATAAACACATGGCAGACACAGATGATTTATCTGAGTCCCAGGGATTCTGCACTCATGGAATGGGTCACAGAATCCTCCCCTGGACACAAGACTTTAATGAATAAGCTTAGTTTCATAAACAGATACATTCACAAGCGGATGTGTGGAGTAAGCCACAAATAATGAATGTACTATTGTCTTCCTGAGTCTGCAAGTCACATGAATGAGTCAAGATTTGGCCTTTAATCCAGAGCAGAGATCAGTACTGGGGCAGCTGGTCGAACTGTACAGCTACAAGTATAAGAGTTTGTTTCTATTTCTGCAGGTCTCTTAATCTTCACGAATAAAATACTCCCTCCAAAATAAATGGTAGAGCAACACTAAGACTAGAAATCCAAGTGCATGAGTGGGTTTGAAACAGAGGGTGGAATTTATTATCCTCACTTGAAAGAGACACTCTGCTTTTAAAAATCAATCCTCAGTGCAGCAATATCTTGGAGGCTCAAGCAGGGCCTATATGCTCCCACATACTGTACAGAGACAAAACAATTATCTAGATAATACCAATGGAGATGGGAATATACAATACGTTTGAAATGCTCACAATCAGAACTAGTTTGTGTGACTACTTCTATTCATTTCTATGGTTTCCTTCAACGATACCCAATAAGAAACACGAGTGCGGTGTTAACTCCAAATTTCTCATCAGAATCTCAGTGAAACTAGATTCATTAACAAAAAACAAATGCTTCATTCAGAACATTCTAACATCAAATCCACACTTTTCCACATTAATGTAGTAAGAGAGACTTCAGCTGATTGCATTTAATAGTCACCAATATCCAAATTCTACCCAGAAAGCAAATAAAATTTAGAAATGGCTTTAATATCTGGAATGGGGCCCCAAGGGGTTTAGTGCTGACCCAATAGTCCTAATAGACTGCAGTTTAGATACAGATCTGTACCAGCATGGGCAAAACAAAGGATTTTTAATCAAGGTCATCTTCCTGATCTCTCTCTCCCCTCCCCCCTTCTTCTCTCACTACAATCCCACACTACATTACATGAGAGATTTGAGTTTTTTTTTTATTTTATTTAAAAACCTATAACTCCTACCTGGTCAGACAACTGAGCTGAGCAATGTTGCAGTTACATGAAATGTGGATTTAAGCAAGGGCTCTTACACCATGGATGAAATGCCAAGGTAACCTCCTCTTGGAGAGAGGGTTTATAGATTTGTATTTTCCTTCCCACTCCCTTTTTGTTTTATAGCTACCCCCAGCTGCATTAGTGTCCTGGGAAGTCTTGCAAGCTGTACAGTTCACTGTACTTCCAATCAAGCCTGTGTCAGTGTTGGTAGAACTTGATACTTGTCAACCATACATCATGAGATTTGCATCAGTTTACAGCCTGCCTGTTGAATTGCAAGTAGCCCACATGGCAGCATAGTATAATCATCAAGGCTTTGACAATAAATCCACAGCATTTACCAGAAGAAAATAACTACAGGTGATTAACACATCTTTCTGTGCTGTTTTGTTAGGTATCAGATCATACCAAGAATCATACACATAGCTGAAACTATCAAAATGGGGGTGGGGAGGCCAGAAGAGAGAGTTCTATTCCCGTCACTAGATCATACCACATGGTGTGTGTGCTGTTAAGAGTTTCTAAACAGAGGGGGTCTTCAACAGGGCAACTGTATTCCCACTTCCCAAGGCCTGCCATCTACCAGCAGACAGTACTAAACTAAATGCACCTGCCATACGGAGATTCCTTTACAACACCTTAAGTACGGTCCCAGGCAAACTGCACAAGAAAACAAAAAAACTCCCCCTTCAATGGATACGCTCAGAGAAGCATTACTGCCTGAAACAGGAGCCTCACTAATAATCCATCCCTTTCCTAACACACCGTAGTCTTTCTTCAGTGGTGAAGGTTTCATGCTGCAGCTCAGCACGAAGAGACATCATCCTCCCCCATACCAAAGATTGGGTGACAAGCGACTGGAATCAAGCAAAAAAAGTCAGGATTGTGAAGTGACGTTTTAATTTGTTTCGCTGTAACTATTCAGCCGAATGGGACTTGTCTGTATCTAGGAGCATGCCAAGGTTCTGTGTTCACGTCAGAGAGCAAGGGTTTGTTTTCAGCTAGTGGACATACACCATAAAAAAATTAAATCATACAAGACTGGAGTTGCTAATCCTTCCAACAAAACAATTTAGGACCCAGAGACAGGATGGCAGTGAAAGACTAGCTTCAACTGAAGACAGGCCAGTACTTGCTTGCCAGGATTAAACTACTAGTATTTAAAGAGGGACTGCAAGGCTGGATAAAACCCTTAGTCACTTTATCCTGCAACACTAAATCTGGGACTCTGTTATTCAAGGCCACATTATTCTAAGTAAATTTAAAATTATGCACTTGGCTTTTTGCCATGGAGAGAGCACAGATTCCTCAAGCTATCAGAACCATTATAGCAAATGATGCAGGAACCATACTTATCTGGAGACAGCCTGAAGGAGCAACATTTTACCACTGTAGCAACACTTCTGGCAGAAGCCAAAAAATCGAGCAGTCCTTGAATGTGAGTGTAAATCCAAGTAGTATCAGACAGATTGGCAGATGTAGCTATACTGTAGCAGCAACCTTTCAAAATAAAAAACAGTAGCAGTGCATACGGAAGCAGTGATTGTGCAGCACTGCTAGGATAGAAACAACCAAATGAAACTGGTTTCAGAGAGATTCAATACCCTGGAACTGCCATCCTTTGAGGCTGGAGTGGACAGCCGGCTGTACTTCCCACAGGCTTGCTGCTATTTAAAGGCTGGCCTGACTCTAGGACAGTCAGATTCCTGGTGTTGATAGTCACATTCACAAAATAAACAGGAGCAACAAGTATCCAGATCCCAATGCCAAGAAAGGGAGAAGTCCCAGAGCAAGAGAGAGGGTACCAGGGGCAACAGATTGCCACCATTCAGTGGATGGCTAGCACTATCTGGGCACTTGCAAGATCATCCGCATGACCCTACCATGTGCTTCATTCCTAGTTGAAGGGACCATCACTGTGAAGAGAGAGGGTAGTTCAGTTTCCAGAACGGTGCACTTCTTGACCTCTACTAAGATCACATCAACATGGGAGGTAATTCGTGCCAAGCGTAACTGGTTCTATTGATGTGCACCCCTATCCTTCGGAAAGAGCTGAAACCACCAACTCATTGTTCTGAGGCCAGAGGTTCCCAAACTGTGATCCACGGATCATTGGCGGGCCACAGAGAGATAGCTGGTCAAGTGGTTTTGGTTCTCTTTTTTCCTAGCTGCTAAGATTGCAACATAAAACCCCTAGAAATACACAAAATACTTAAATAGCAACTTCTCCATATAAGGAGTTGTTGTTACAGCCACAAAGACATCTGACCATCATGCATGGGAGGGGAAGCGATCTGTGTAATAGCATATGGACAAGAGGTCTACAAGATAATAGGAGAAAAACTAAGATGATCCTACCTGTAAGAGAGCTTGAGAAGCCCTCACCTGGGCCACTAAACAGCTTCAATATGGTAACTTTCAGTCACTACTCCTCGAACCAGAATTTAAACTTGTGGCCTGGAAGAGAAGAGCTCCCATCTAGTCAGTCAAAGCCAACCCAGTGCCCAAAGATCATTTTATGGATAGACGGAGTATACTGAAATCAAGAGATCCTTCCCCTTGAAAGGCTTTGTAACGGGAGTAGGATGATGCAGGTGCAAGGGTTAACATTTCCATTTAGTTTGCAGCTACGTGTTCCCCACTTTTGATTTTACAGCACTATAGGGCAGGATTTTGTTTGTTTAAAAAAAAAATTTTACTGAGCAAACAAAACTTGTTCAAAGATTGCTGCTGCAGATAGGAGGAAGATGTCTGGAAGGTTGGTTTGAGCACACAATTTGCCAGTAAACAGATTAAAATAGTGGTGTATCCCCCAGGAAACATTTTAGTAAAGTATGGAGCTTCATTAAAATCTTCTGAAGCAGGACACTAAAAAGCCTTCACATATCCTTGAAAAGCAACAGCATAAAGTACTTACTGGAAGAGCTAACTTTCCCTCATCACAACCTATTGATCCATGAGTGAGCCAGTCATTTTCACTACCACAATAAAACATAGCGCTAGTTATATGGCCTCAACACCAAGCCAAGAGAGTTGCCCTTGATCTTCATTTTGGACTTTTCATAAAGCCCAAACCAAAAACACGCACTTACTCTACACTTCAGGAACACTTCACCTGCATTACAGCAGTGGATGAAGTGTAACAACTGTTAGTGAGAAGCTATCCAGTCTACGGTGACATTTGGTGCAGGCCAAACTACAGAGACAAGACTCCGATGAGCAGACTTTCCGAGTTAGGCGCAGTGATAAGAATTTGGCTGCAATATACTTGTGGGTTGCATCTTCCACCAATGAGCTAAAAATTGCTTCTGCTTAAAATTCAGCTATTTCAGTCCAATGGACAGTTATGGATTTTAAACTAAGTGTCTACAGTTTGAGAGGATCCCAACAGTACAGTTAGTTTAATCACTGCTGGACTGTGAACTATTTATAGTTTACTTTATAATTTGCCTTTGCCAGAAGAAAGCTTTCCCTGCAATCTGTGACTAATGTTCCTTCCGGATTTACACACAGCAACTTGAGATATAAAATAAAAGCGGGGGGGGGGGGGGTTAAAGGAGTGTGGGAAGAGAAAGATGCTCACCCAGAAGAACAAATGAAGCAAACTGGTCCACTGCCAATAGAGCACTCATATCTATTTATTCCAGTGAGTGATGTCAGTAAGGAGTGGGGGGGGCGGGGGAGGGAGACACGACATCCTAAGGATATAAAGTAGCCCCAGAACTATTTCCTCCACCTTTGCCTCTGGTACAAAGAGGGCCAGCACACCTCGCTCATTAAAAAGCCCAGTAGGAGTCCCATTTCTCCTATCCACTGCAAAC